CCAGCAGGAGCCAGTCCCTGTGCTCCTCAGAGTCCCAGCAGGAGCCAGTCCCTGTGCTCCTCAGAGTCCCAGCAGGAGGCCAGTCCCTGTGCTCCTCAGAGTCCCAGCAGGAGGCCAGTCCCTGTGCTCCTCAGAGTCCTAGCAGGAGCCAGTCCCTGTGCTCCTCAGAGTCCCAGCAGGAGCCAGTCCCTGTGCTCCTCAGAGTCCCAGCAGTAGGCCAGTCCCTGTGCTCCTCAGAGTCCCAGCTGGAGGCCAGTCCCTGTGCTCCTCAGAGTCCCAGCAGGAGGTCAGTCCCTGTGCTCCTCAGAGTCCCAGCAGGAGGCCAGTCCCTGTGCTCCTCAGAGTCCCAGCAGGAGGCCCGTCCCTGTGCTCCTCAGAGTCCCAGCAGGAGGCCAGTCCCTGTGCTCCTAATAATATAATGTGGAGAAAGTGTGCGGAGGTAAAAACAGTCTGATGTCTTGCAGACCGTAACATGCTCCTGCTCCTCCTCCTCCTCGGGGCTCCTCTGGTCTCGGCTCAGGTCTGGAGGTTTGGCCCCTGTCCACATGTTGAGACGCAGCAGGGCTTCCAAGTGTCCAAGGTGAGAGTTTATTAAACCTGATTGTTCTGTGGTAAAACCGTGTGTGGTCCTGAAACCATGTGTGGTCCTGAAACCATGTGTGGTCCTGAAACCATGTGACCAGAGTTTGTATCTTTAGGATTTCATGCATCTTTAATTTATTTTATTGAACTAATGTTGTTTTCAGACCAGAGCAAATAAAGTGACATGGACTGTCTGTAAAAACATGTTGTATAGTCTGAGAGCGAGAGAGAGAGACCAGAGAGTGAGAGATGGTACCAGAGAGAGAGAGAGACCAGAGAGAGAGACCAGAGAGAGAGAGAGGACCAGAGAGGAGGAGAGAGACCAGAGAGGAGGACCAGAGAGAGAGGACCAGAGAGAGACCAGCCAGAGAGACCAGAGAGAGACCAGAGAGAGAGAGAGACAGAGAGAGAGACCAGGAGAGAGAGAGAGACCAGAGAGAGAGAAGAGACCAGAGAGAGACCAGAGAGAGAGACCAGAGAGAGACCAGAGAGACCAGAGAGAGACCAGAGAGACCAGAGGGGGGGGGGAGAGGGGTGACCAGCGCGAAAGACCAGAGAGAGTCCAGAGAGAGACCAGAGAGAGACCAGAGAGAGACCCAGAGAGAGACCAGAGAGAGACCAGAGAGAGAGGAGATGACCAAGAGAGAGAGACCAGAGAGAGACCAGAGAGAGAGAGAGGAGACCAGAGAGAGAGACCAGAGAGAGAGAGAGAGAGAGACCAGAGAGAGACCAGCAGAGAGAGACCAGAGAGAGAGAGAGAGAGAGACCAGAGAGAAACCAGAGAGACCAGAGAGAGACCAGAGAGAGAGAGAGAGACCAGAGAGAGACCAGAGAGAGCCCAGAGAGAGACCAGAGAGAGACCAGAGAGAGAGACCAGAGAGAGAGGTCCAGAGAGAGAGAGA